GTCTTCCCCCACAGTGCAAGAACAATGGAGTCTCCCAATACATAGTAGGGATCTCCTGCATGCAAACACCAGCACTCCTTAACAGAAATGAGTGCCATGCCACCAATGGAAATGAATTCTGCTCTAGCATGCCTTAATAAAAATGGCACACTTTTACTGGAAATAAAAAACTAAATTTAAATCACAGGAAATTCAAAACGTAAGCTATGGTTGTGCAACTTATAGCTGTTTACTGTACTTTAATAGAGAATTCAGGTTTAACCAAATTGTAATCTTATTACTATACTGACAATTCCTAGATCAATATCTACCAAATAAATATGAGCTTTCTACCCATACATAAAATGAATGCACCATACATAAAATATGAATCCAATTTGTAAAAAAAAAAAAAAGTTAGAAAAATAATTTATTAAAAAATTTCCTTGAATGTTTGCAATATTTGTATCTCTAGATCAACATCTGTAAAAAATTAATTGGTTCCAAAACAGTTCATTTATAAGTGTCTATGTTCATTACTCAGAAATTCATGAGTTGGAGTTGTACTCTACAGGATAATAAACAAAACATGGGAAAATCCTCCTTTCTGACATCAGTTATTGATTTTTCAAACTTTCCCCAAGTACTGTACAAGACGATTTATGGATCAGTTTATATCTGCTCAAAAGCATTTAGTAAGAAAATATTTCTGAATACAATCAACAAAAAATATGAATGTTAAATTATGAAATTATTTTCAGAAAAATAAAAAATAGAAGGGGAGGAGGAGGCAAGAAGTCAATTATATATATGTAATTCCTTAGTGTATTTCTCTCTTGTGATATGCTGGAGGAGGAAGAAAAGGATAGTGAGAAATGAATAAACCTTTTCAAGATATTTTAGTGTGCAGGTTTGGAAACATGTTCTTCTACACCAGTCAACAAGCAGGAGGAGAGAATATTCTGGGGAATACACCTGGACAGCAAACTAAAATTCAATACTCACATCCAGAACATTTCTAACAAAAAATTAAAAACAGTAAACATTCTCTAAAAAAATAGGTTATTATGTTTTGCAAACATCCTTGCTCACTTTGTATTACTCTCTAATCTATCCATACCTCACCTATGGTATCCGTGCCACCCAGGGATTAACAACAGGTAATCACCTGAAACTTGTACTTACTCAGCAAAAATCAGCTCTCAGAATAATTACTCATTCAGGCTCCTGGCACACACACACACACACACACACACACACCAGGAGCTGAGTCTCAACCCCTGCAACCACAAATTGGTGAGTACATATGTACGCACATACGCGTGTGCGCACACACCACACACACACACACACACACACACACACACACACACACACACACACACACACACACACACACACACACACACACACACAACACAACACAAACACACACACACACACACACACACACACACATACACACACACAAACACACACAAAACACACACACAAACACACACACACAAACACACACACACAAACACACACACACACACAAACACACACACAAACACAAACAGAATTGTTAGGAAAGTCAGTAAACGAAATGACGGAATATGTAACAACAGAATGCAAGGAGGCAGAGGAAAGGTTTGTTCCCAAGGGCAACAGTAATAATGAGAAGACCAGAATGAGCCCCTGGTTTACCCGAAGGTGTAGGGAAGCAAAGACTAGAGAATGGAAAAAGTACAGAAGGCAAAAGACCCAGGAGAAGAGCCAGAAATGAGTATGCACAGACGAGGATGAGGCCCAACAACAGGACGAAAAGAACACAGCATCGAAAGTCAAGTCTGACCCGAAACCGCTGCATAGCCACATGAAGAGGAAGACAACAGTCAAAGACCAGGTGATCAGGCTGAGGAAAGAAGGTGGGGAATTCACAAGAAACGATCAAGAGGTATGAGAGGAGCTCTACACGAGATTTAAGGAAGTATTTACAGGGGAGACAGGAAGGACTCTGGGAAGTCGGAACAGAGGGGGACATCAACAAGGAATATACCAACAAGTGTTGGATGACATACACACAACCAAGGAAGAGGTGAAAAAGCTGATAAGTGACCTTGATACCTCAAAGGCGATGGGACCAGACAACATCTCCCAGTGGGTCCTTAGAGAAGGAGCAGAGATACTGTGTGTGCCACTAACCATGATCATCAACACATCCCTCAAAACTGGGCAACTACCCAAGTTATGGAAGACAGCAAATGCAGTTCCCATTTTTAAGAAAGGAAACAGAAATGAGGCACTAAAGTACAGACCAGTGTTACTGATGTGTATAGCATGCAAAGTCATGGAGATTATTACCAGGAGGAGAGTGGTAGAGCACCTGGAATGGAACGAGATTATAAATGACAACCAGCACGGATTCATGAAAGGCAAATCCTGTGTCACAAACCTCCTGGAGTTTTACGACAAGGTAACAGTAGTAAGATACGAGAGAGAGGTGGGTTGACTGCATTTACTTGGACTGCAAGAAGGCCTTCGACACAGTTCCTCACAAGAGATTATTGCAGAAGCTAGAGGATCAGGCATGTATAACAGGAAGGGCACTGCAATGGATCAGAGAATACCTGACAGGGAGGCAACAACGAGTCAAGGTACGAGATGAAGTATCACAATGGATGCCTGTGACGAGTGGGGTTCAACAGGGGTTAGTCCTAGGACCTGTGCTGTTTTTGGTATATGTGAATAACATGACAGAAGGGATAGACTCAGAAGTGTCCCTGTTCACAGATGATGTGAAGTTAATGAGAAGAATTAAATCAGATGAGGATCAGGCAGGACTCCAAAGAGACCTGGACAGGCTGGACACGTGGTCCAGCAACTGGCTACTCGAATTTAAGCCAGCCAAATGCAAGGTCATGAAGATCGGGGAAAGGCAAAGAAGACCGCAGACAGAGTGTAGGCTAGGTGGCCAAAGACTGCAAACCTCACTCAAGGAGAAAGATCTTGGGGTGAGAATAATACTGAGCATGTCTCCGGAAGAACTTATCAACCAGATAACTGCTGCAGCATATGGGCACCTGGCAAACCTGAGAACAGTGTTCTGATACCTCAGTAAGGAACATCCTGTCTTTGTCCACCTTGTCTATTTTGCACAATATTTTGTATGTTGTTATCATGTCTTCCCTAACCCTTCTGTCCTCCAGTGTCGTCAGGCCTATTTCCCTTAATATTTCTTCATAGGACATTCCTCTTAGCTCTGGAACTAGCATTGTTGCAAACCTTTGCACTTTCTCTAATTTCTTGATGTGCTTGACCAGGTGTGGGTTCCAAACTGCTGCTGCATACACAGTATGGGCCTGACATACATGGTGTACAACACCATGTACATCAGGCCCATACTGAGTATGCAGCCCCAGTTTGGAACCCACACCTGGTCAAGCACATCAAGAAATTAAGAGAAAGTGCAAAGGTTTGCAACAATGCTAGTTCCAGAGCTAAGGGGAATGTCCTATGAAGAAATGTTAAGGGAAATAGGCCTGACGACACTGAAGGACAGGAGGGTTAGGGAAGACATGATAACGACATACAAAATATTGTGCAGAATAGACAAGGTGGACAGACAGGATGTTCCAGAGATGGGACACAGAAACAAGGCATCACAATTGGAAATTGAAGACCCAGATGAGCCAAATAGGAGGGTACAAATAGGTGAGTACACACACACACACACACGTACGTTATGTCACGTGAATGACATATTGGAAGGGATAGACTCAAAAGTGTCCTTGTTTGCAGATAATGTGAAGTTAATGAGAAGAATCAAATTGGTTGAGGATCAGGCAGGACTACAAAGAGACTTGAACAGGTTACAAGCCTGGTCCAGCAACTGGCTCCTTGAATTTAATCCTGCCAAATGCAAAGTCATGAAGATCAGGGAAGGGCAAAGAAGATCGCAGACACAGTATAGTTTAGATGGCCAAAGACTGCAAACTTCACTCAAGGAAAAAGATCTTGGGGTGAGTATAATATCGAGCACATCTCCTGAGGCACACATCAATCAGATAACTGCTGCAGCATATGGGCATCTGGCAAACCTAAGGATAGTGTTCCAAACCTCACTAAGGAATCGTTCAAGACTCTGTACACCATATACATCAGGCCCATACTGGAGTATGCAGCACCAGTTTGGAATCCACACCTGGTCAAGCATGTCAAGAAATTAGAGAAAGTGCAAAGGTTTGCAACAAGACTAGTCCCAGAGCTAAGGGGATTGTCCTACGAAGAAAGATTAAGGGAAATTGACCTGATGACACTGAAGGACAGGAGGGTCAAGGGAGACAGAAACTAGGGGTCACAATTGGAAGTTGAAGACTCAGATGAGTCAAAGGCATGTTAGGAAGTATTTCTTCAGTCATAGAGTTGTCAGGCAGTGGAATAGCCTAGAAAGTGACGTAGTGGAGGCAGGAACCATACGTAGTTTTAAGATAAGGTTTGATAAAGCTCATGGAGCAGGGAGAAAGAGGACCTAGTAGCAATCAGTGAAGGGGTGGGGCCAGGAGCTATGACTCGACCCCTGCAACCACAAACAGGTGAGTACAAATAGATGAGTATACACACACACACACACACACATTTAAATCTGCTTTATGGACAAAATGCAATATCCACACTTTCTACTGTGTACGCTGTTTGAACTAAGTGCCCTATAGGATGATCAATTCTGGAATATATCGGGGAAAATAAGTCCAAACACTTGTGTAACAAATAATTTTGAGAAATGTATTAAGATCTTAGGTGGGGAACCTACTGTTCTGTACATCTTCACCTGTGCTATAAAGAGTACAGTTTGATGGAATAATTTTTAGCATGCTAGCAAAGTCATGATGAGTTATACAAGAAGATAACAGGCTTCTTGTACAACTCCTGTTACTAGGGAATACAGAGGATCTAGTTAATAAAGCACCGTATAAATCCTTATCAGAAGTTACCATATACTCTCCATCTAGTATACTATAAGCAAGGAAATCAATTACCTAAAAACATAGGAGAAGTAAAGTCGGTCAATGTCAGTGTAGCGTGCATCCGCAATCTTTGAGTGAAGTGTTTGTACGGCAACACATGCTAGGTACACAAGCATCCAAAAGTACGCTGAATCTGAAAACTATATAAAATTCATTTAAAAAGTATGAAAAAATCATTCTTACTTTTGAAAATAATATCTAACAAAATAATATAGTAATATTAAACTATTTATAATATTTTAAGCACCATTATGATAGATCTTAAACAAAACGAAATCACTATACTTTGAGGGCGTCTACCGTCATGTCAATATCAGCAAGAACTGCAGCCACTGCCGTCCCAATGGTGACAAGACTAGCAAGTAGAGGGAGTGGCCCAGAACCACTTCTAAAGCTTGGAGCAATTTCCATCAAATAGAGCATTGCTCCCAATGTATTTTGCAAACATAAAAACACAGGCACACTCTGAAAGATTAAAAGTCTGTTAAGAAATTGCTATCACACCAGTTTTAACACTATTCCAATAGATATAAAAAATTAAGTAAAAAAATAAAGAACCATTAAATTTTAACCCTTTCAATGTCTTACACTGATCTATGTTATTGACGCCAGTGCCACTCATGTAGATGTATGTTTTAAGTTCAGCACTCCAAAAATATGCTAACAGCAGTAAATTTTGGCCTAGCCATGAGAGAATGGGTTTGTGCAGTGAATGCACACAATATACTGTAATATAAAATCCTTCCCTCTGACCTTATGTTTGCTTTAAAACAGCAACTTTGATGTGATTTCTAGAATGTTTTTATGGTCTTAGTGGCCTCTTGTTGATATCAATTGACATATTGCAAGACATACTACTGAAATAGAGATGATTCTGGCCTGTTTCAAGAATGGAAGTAGCTTGGAATAGGGCTCAAGCTTGCAGAAATATTCAATTTTTGATCATTTTCCTGAGGAAAGGTAAGGCACTTAAGTCTGTGTTATGGGTTTTTATTAGGTCTGCTTCAGTCATTGTGATGCTCTGACCCATGACCAATCATTCCTGGTTATATTTTATTTTCTGAGAAATAGCACAAAACTTCAATTTGTTATGTTATGATGGATTTAAAATGGAGGGTAAGTGTAATATAGGAGGTGTGGAGTTGTGATTAATGAACAGAGGAAAGGTTGCTTTAGTGGCTGGAATATCTACAGTGTTTATTTTGGATTCTTTTTTAAAACTGGAATTTGTTTAATTTTGTATAAAATTGGCTAAATAGCCATCTTCTGTGCACATTATGAGGTACATACTCCTGACAGTTAAATGGGAAGTTTTCTGTGCTCAATCAACAGAACAGAAAGCATATTAGTGAAATAGAAATGAACTTGGTTGAAATGAGCAATGGAACTGCCTTAAAATAGGACTCAAATTGAGTGAAATTGTCAATATGTAAATTGGACCCCAACCACCTATTTTGCACCTTCATAATTCCAAAAATTTTCTCCTCAAATTTCATATTTTTGGTGTCACTACCTTGAGAAAAAAATTCTCTACCATTTTGGGAGAACTTTTGTTTTAAATCTCGACATTTTCAGCAATTTTAATTTCAGGCTCCTGACAGTGAAAGGGTTTATAAGTCAAAGATACAAGAGTACACTTTCAGAGATTAAATTGTACAGAAATAGATCAAATATATTTCCAAATTTATCTCACCAGCTACTTATTCACAGCATTATTTGCCAAACAGAATATTCCAATTATTTTCCTATAATATGACTATGAACCAAGTAAAAAAATAAGGAAAAATGCTTAAACTAGGGTAAAAAAAAAAAAAAACTAAAAGTGGAATTTCAATGACCAGTATTATTATACGTACTTAGGTGAAAGCACTAAGCCCAGAAGTGTCATACAGTACCTGGGAAATGGAAGGCAATCAGGTTCGATCCCAGGAAGTGGAGGACAAATCTAAATCCTTGGATTAAGAGCTTCTCACTAGCATCAAGGGACTACCCCTGAGAGGGAAATTAAACATACCGCATCTATTGAAAAACAGCAGTTGAACAGAGTTGTAACTCTGAGCAACATGTACAGGTTAGACCAACTTTAATCATCACCTGCTTTATACTGTCATAGCAATGGTAACCAGATTTATATACCCTCCTGAGCAACCTATCCCTCTCCTTCCTCTCTACATGCCCAAGTCCTCTCAACAACCCCTCTTCAATCCTCTTGAATTATACCCTTGGTGACCCCACGTCTAAATTCTTTGCATGCTCTTAAACACAATTCCTTCACTGCCTCAAGCTTTGTTCTCACTACAATATTCAAAACCCTTGCCTCACACCCATATAAATACATTGCTACCACTATACATACTTTGGTACACTCCCTTTATTTTACCTCCATACATAAACTTTTCTTTCCACAGATACTTCAACACACCACTCACCTTTATCCTCTCACCTATTCTATGGTTCACCTAATCCTTCATAAACCCTTCAACTGACATGTCCACTCCCAAACACAATAGTACCCCAAGTTTCGTACAGCTCCCAACTTGAACAATTACATAAGTGTATTATTGTAAGTGCTTTTGTAAGCGTATTTTTGGGGGTCTGAAATGGACTAATATAATTCACATTATTCCTTATGGGAACAAATTCGTTCAGTAACAGCACTCGAACAGCCTTCTGGAACGAATTATGGCCGAAACTTGGGGTACCACTGTCTCTAAATACATCCACTTCTCCCTCCAATTTGATATTCAATCTATCATTGTCTAGAATTTGTTATATTCATCACTACATCAACTTTTAATTTCCTTCCTTTCCATACCCTCCCAAATTCATCCACCAGCCTTTGTAACTTGTCTTCAAAATCCCCTAAAAGAACTGTCATCAGCAAAAAGCAAATGGGATACCTCCCACTTTATACCAAATCCAACATCTTTCAACCCCCCACCCCTTCCCAATACCTTAGCATTCACTTATTTCACAACCCCAACTATAAATATGTTAAATAACCATGGTGATACTACACATCCTTATCTAAGTCCTATTTCAACTAGGAAATGGATCCTCTCCCTCTTACATACCCTAACCTGGGCCTCGTTCTCCAATTAAAAACTCTTGAACTGCTTTTAGTAACCTACCTCCTACTCAATATGTTTACCACATGGCTTCCTTATCCACCTTATTATATGTCCTTTCTAAAGCCATAAATGCAACAAACAACTCTTTACCCTTTATCAAAGCAGTGCTCACTTATATACTTCAATGGTCTTGCACGCTCCCACCCACTAGCAGCTTGCATGCTCCCACCCACTAGCTGATTCTAGATTTTTTTATTTTTGCTTACTACTAATACTACTATGTCTGTTCTATTTACCAGAAAGTTTAATATCCGTTTACCTAATTTCCCCAGTTACACGTATCACTCACTTATTTTATGAGCAATCACTCTATGATTGCATTTCTCAAACTTTTTTGCAACATCCGGGGTATATCGCATCTGTGTTTCAGTTTTCTTCAATGCCTTGGCAATCCTGTCATTATGGTTTACTAGTTCAGAGAAGCATGATCTTCCAACTCTAAATTCATGCTGGTTTGGGATATGTGGGTTATGCTGTTACAGAGTCTGTAATTTGGCATCTTATCACCCTTCAAAGACTTGCACAATGTGCAATGTTAAAACACTAGTCTATAATTTTTGGCTAGTGCTCTACTGTTTCCTTTATGCAAATGAGCTATATCTCTAAAAGATACCAAATGCTCATGTTAATAGTATTTTGCCTGTCTTTATAAAAAGGAACTCCAAAATCCAGTCTGAATGCTGCATCATTGACCATGTTTCCTATTTCTCTATCAAATTCCACAGCATTAGTGCTATGTCAGTTATGTGTGGCACTCAAGAGGTAATTTAAAAATTTCTGCATTCTCCACCAGGGCTGTGGAGTTGAAGTCGGAGTTGGAAACAATTCTTGGGTTACTGGAGTCAGAGTTGGTAAAAATCTGATTAAACAATAGTTTAATCTGAAAAAGGAAGGTTATGTACCTAACAGAGGTTACTTCTTTTAAAATGATTATTTATTAAGTTGTTTTAGGTGTTCAACTGCTTTTTACTTTTTTTGTAGCTTTAACTTTGAATTCTTTTTAGTACAGTACTATCAAAGGATGTACATGTACTTCAGATTATTTAACTAGTAGAGAAAGATGTTTCTGACTCAGATTTTCTTTTATAGTTTTTTTTTTTTTACATCCTATTACTTTATACTTGATAGTCTTTTTATAAAAATATAACCTCATTATTTCCATTTTTCAAGTTTTGTCCTTTGTTTAATTATAAGCGTATCTATTCCTACCTCATCTCCCACAACATACTCAACCCCTGTCAATTTGGGGTCAGGCCTAATAAAAATATTATGATGCTATTATACACATGCTAGAACATATATACACTGCAATAGAGAAAAAAGAAGTCCCACTGAGGATCTTCATTGACTTACGTAAAGCTTTCGATACAGTTGACCACGACTTGCTCAACATAAAATTGTCGCACTATGGTATAAGAGGGCGCTCCCTCAACTACCTAAAGTCATACCTCAGCAACAGAAGCCAATATGTGTACACAAATGGGGCAAACTCTTCCGCACAGCCAATTACAGTTGGTGTCCCACAGGGAAGTGTCCTAGGCCCTCTTCTCTTTCTCATATACATAAATGACCTACCAAATGCATCGCAACTACTCAAACCCACACTATTTGCAGATGACACTACATACATCTACTCCCACCCGAGCCCAGTCATGCTAGCCAATACTGTAAATACCGAATTACAAAAAATATCTACCTGGATGAGGACCAACAAACTTACTCTAAACATTGACAAAACCTACTACATTCAGTTTGGTAACAGAGCTGCAGATGTGTCTCTTAACATAATGATAAATGGATCACCTATCACAAAAAACTCACAGAGGGAAAATTCCTAGGAATCCACCTTGATAATAGACTCAAATTTCAAACACATGTACAACAAATTTCCAAAAAAAATTCCAAAGACAGTAGGCATACTATCGAAGATACGGTACTATGTTCCACAGTCAGCCCTCCTGGCCCTATATCACTCACTTATTTACCTCTATCTCACCTATGGAATTTGTGCATGGGGCTCAACAACAATAAACCATCTCAGACCACTAATCACCCAACAAAAGGCTGCAGTCAGAATGATAACAAATTCCCACTACAGACAGCACACTCCACCAATATTCAGAACTCTAAACCTACTCACAATACAAAATATCCATACTTATTACTGCACCTACTACATACATAAGAACACTTAACTCTGACATAAACCCTCCCCTCAAACATCTCCTTACCAACCTCAACAGAACACATGACCATAACACAAGACACAGATCACTCTTTGATGTTCCTCGTGTCCATCGCACACTATGCAAAAACTCAATGCACATAAAAGGC